TTGAAGCAGCCAATTTCGAAGAAGAAAGGGGAATGGGTAGCTGATGGTTTGGTGGGGAATTTGTGGGTTTATTGGATTTTATTTTATTTTTCTTTTATTTTTTTATTTTTTTATTTTCTTTTTTTCTTTTCCTTTTCTTATTTCTTTTCTCTTTTATTTCTTTTCTATTTTATTTCCTTCTTTTATTTTTCTACATTTCCTAGTTTTATTAGCTTAGTATAAATACCCAATTTTGGGGTAATTAGAAAAACATTCAATAACTATCTATTCTTCTCTCTAATTAGTTTTAGTTTTAGGTTAGGTTAGGATTAGTCTTCATTGGTAGAGAGAGAAAGTGTGGTTTTCTTCATTAATGAACTTGGATCTTGAAGAAGGAGCTTGTTCAATCCTTTGTAGACCTTCATCTTCAATTAATGAGCAATCTCTTACTCTTTCTCTTTACCTTTGTTTTTGTTTTTGATTTTGTTTATTTGCTTTTATTTTTCTTCTTTGCTTATTAATCATGTTGATGCTTATTGATTTGATGATTGATATTATTTTCAACATGATTTGTGAGTAGTCATCTAGCCAAGGGTGTGGGGATGGTGTAGTTGCTAATTGTTCATGCTTTTAATGTTGGGGTTATGTTAATGGTGATTAAAGTCTTTGCATGCTTGATATTCTTTGATCTTTCTTGTTAGTGCACATTGTTAGTTGATCAAAAATGAGTCTTTACTAACAAGTAACGGAAGTTGACTTAGTTGAGATTCATTACTATCGATTGTTATTTAATAGTACCTCCTAGTATATGGTTCTAATGTAGAAACATAGAGGCTATGTTAGGAGAAGCCAATTGACCCCGAAAGGCGGCTAGATTGGACCATTTACTTCGGTATTCATGCATGTTTAGTTTACCATTGATTTGCTACTTTGTTATTGCATGATCAAGCGTCAACTTCACCTACCCATTTCCCTTGGTGCCTTAATGTTTTATTTCTTGTTTTAGCATCTTTAGACTTTAGTTTATTTATCTCCTATTCCGGACTAGCTTAATTGTCGATAACATTTGGTGGTGTTTACCGTTCTCAGTGGTTCGACCCCTATGCTTGCCTTATACTCGTATTAGGTTTGTTAAGGTTGTATAAATTGTATTTGATCTAGGGATAGACAATTGACGACGCGTTTATTCCCTTGTCACAAGCCCTTGTCAGCCAGACGGTCCAACGTCTGCTTGAGACTATAGCAGTCGTTGGTGTCATGGCCCACTTCCTCATGGAAGTGACAGAATTTATTCTTGTTCCGCGACTGAACGAAACTCTTCATAGGATTCGGCTTCTCAATAGTAAGCCGGTCCTTTACCTCTGTAAATATGGTGTAACAGTCTTTATTGAATTCATACCGTGAGACATACAGTTTGAATTCTTTCTTTTTTCTTTTTGGACGGCTGGTCAGGTTCATCGGCCGCCCAAACTTCTTTTATCTTTTTTCGCTCTTCAGATTTCTGAGCTGGCTGAGCAGACCGACTCTCCTTTTGCTTATCGGACTTCTTGGAGTCCGACTGATGGATGGACGAGCAGAGGTCGGTGGCTTGTATAAAGCTCTCCGCCTCTATCAACGCCTCTTGAAGGGTGAAAACCCTCTTTTGGACAAGGTCGAACTTAAAAGTCGACCCATCCTTCAGACCCTTTAAGAATACTTTATATGCTACCTCGTTAGACAACCCCTAGATTTGGATTCTCACCTGGTTGAACCGCCTGAAATAGGAGCGGAGTGCTTCTCTCTCTCCTTGCCTTATGGTGCTCAAGTCAAGACTTGTTTCCTTGGTAAGGATGTTCATTGAGAAGTTGGAGGCAAAAAGGAAAGCAAGCTTCCTAAAGCTGTCAATGCATCCAGCTGGCAGGTAGCCAAACCATTGTTGGGAGATTACCTTCAATATAGCCGGGAAGCACTGACACCACATAACATCTTCCAACCCCTGAATGTGCATGAGGTTGGAGTAGGCCATGAGGTTATCCTCCGGGTTAGTGGTACCATCATAGGCACTTACCAACACATTCTTAACCTTGGCCGGCTGTGCCGCCTCGGTTATCTCCTTGGTGAACGCAGAAGTTTGTTCACCAAGTTTGAGCAGAAGGAGCTGTTAGTCCAAAGGTTGGACATTGTATGCCGCCTGACCCCCAAAGAGGGTCGACTGCATGAAATGAGGAGAATACGGTCTGTAGACCATAAGGGGTACATACGGTGCATTCCCAATCATCTGAGGCCAAAACGAACAATATTACCGCCTGTTTGGCTCTCATGCAAGGATTGAGTATTCCTTGCAGATGTATTTCTGAAACTGTCTAGAAAGCTCGAGGTAGAGGCTAACTCAGACAGCTGCTGGCTCCAATTTCGCTCGATGACATGCCGCACGTCAGTGTAAGTTATCTTGTTGCCATCCGACTCAACAGCACGGATGACCTTCCTTGTGCCTGTCTGGGGCAGAAGGATCTTCGACCAGTTAATGGCAGGCACAGTCTTTCCTTGGGGTGTGGAGTAGGCTGCTTGTCCTAGAATGACTTCTTCCTCGCAGTTCGAGGAGACTTTTTGGCCGGCTGACTCTTACTGGTGCCAGCCGTTTTCTTTTCAATCAGGTGCTTGATCTCACCCTTGAAACTGGTCATGAATTTCATGAGCTCGTCTCTGGTGACTGAAGCCTGACCTCTTGCCGACTGGGTTTCCCCTTCCGGCTGACCAGGGGGCCTGCTTGTACCCGCCTAGCTATCACCTCGTTCCAGAGTATCTCTGGGACGGATTCGCCTAGAGATGAATGACCCATCTCTAGCCATGTATGTTTCGACTTGGGGATCATCATCCTCCTGGTCTGTAAAGACCTCCGACTGATGAACCTTAGGGTCAGGAGGCGGTACAGACTCTTGAACCATCCTTGAGGTACTCTCCCCACATACGGCACCAAATGTTTTGGGTGTTTTTGTCCCTCGGGAGAGTTACAGCTCAAAAACTGGTTGCTCGCGACCTGTACCTGCAAAACAACGGAGGCTCCTAGTGGTAGGAGCTCCGCCTCCGACAGTCAAGTTAGTAATTGAATGTGAGTAGGAAAAGATGCGGAAAATGAAATGAGATCTTCTCGGATTCCGAGATTAGGTGTTCTTTGATATGAGAGAATGTAGGGTAGGTGTAATAAATGATTGAATGTGTCCCAAAATTAGGGAATATCAATCTATTTATAGGGTCATTAGGGAACGTGCCCTCTCTTAGGTCATTTGACCTAGATTTGGTGGGTTGCGCCGTTTTGCGGCGTTCTTGGGAATTGGACCTTGAAGGCCGCAATTCTAGAAGGCATCTGAGGCTGACACGTGTCAGCTAGGGGTGTTCAAATCCAGGTACCCGGCTATTCAGGTACCCGCACTTGCGGGTAGTTGAAAAGGCGGCCCACGTCCCGACTTGAATAAACCGGATACCATGTAAAAAATATTCTATAAAAAAATCATTTAACCCGAAAATATCAAAATCATTTATCGATTCCATGTAAAAAAATTTCTAAAAAAAAATCATGTAAACATAATCAAACTCAATAAAATATTTTGCAACTAACAAAAGAAGATTCATGAACACTAGCATACCAATCTTTTAATTACTAAATTGAATTACAAAAATGTCAGATTTTCATACAGATCTAACTTCATACGTATCAATAAATAGACTAACTAATGCAGCCCAAATCAACTACGAAGTATGTTTTACCCAATATCAAAGTAGCCGCCTAATATAATTATAGAAACAATCGAAGTTATAAGAAACAACTAACCATAATTACATTAGGAAGCTAAGAAATAAGTAATAATTAAGTCAATCCTTATCATAACACCCAAAGTATCACAAATAAATTGTATCAAACACCTACTGTTTGATGTAGAGAGGAGTAGAGGACTATAAAGGGTACGAAGTACAACATGCAAAAGCTTGTATATTTCAAGATTGTTGGTAGACTTGCTTGAAAATTGCAGTGAACATATCTTGTACAGAGCAGTAGGTGAGAGAAGACAGAGATTAGAGAGAGGAGAGAGAGGGAGATAGTGAAAAATTTGAGATGATGGCTGGGAGTGAAAAATAATTTAGGCTATGTTTGGTAGTAAGCTTATTGGAGGTATATTAGCTTATTTGACTAACTTTAGCTAATTGACTGGTCAAACAAGCTAATACAAGTGTTTGGTAGTAAGCTTATTGAAAGGGCTTATTCCACTAAATAAGCTCTTTTTGAAAAAGCTCATTTTAGGAGCTTTTTCAATTAGCTTATTCATTAATTATTGTGAAATGACATTTATAACCTCATTTAATTTAAAATCCTATCTAAACTACCTACCCCATAATTAGCTTATTGGTCATTTCACATACTCAATCACCTTTAAGCTATCAGCTATTTACCAAACACTTTTATATAATCAGTTAATACAATAAGTTAGTCAAATCAGTTAATAAAATTAATCAGCTAGTCAAAACTATCTAACTCAATCAGGTTCAGCTTTCAGCTTTCTCCCAAACAGGGCCTTAATAACCCTAAGTTTACTGGACTAGAGCTGTAATTTTTTTCCATCTGGTAATAACGGGTACCCGAGTCACCCATACTCCGGCTCATGAACCGATCCGTAACCCCGAGTGTTTTACCGAGTCGGGTATCCGTCCCGAAATTTTTAAAAAAATCTCCAAATAGCCATCGGGTATTTTGCGGGTCATTGGATAATCGGATGGGGTCAAACGGGTTGGGTTCTTTTGAACACCCCTAGTGTCAGCCGGCAATTGACCCAAATGAACCTGCCTATGCTTAACACATGACTCTCTATAATTGGTTCACGTGGATAGAGTATTTTTTACCTAAAACAAGATGAATAGAACAAGGGTATTTTTTACCTAAAACAAGCTGAATAGAACAAGCCCTAAGTAAAAACTTACATTCATGTCAAAAAAAAAAAAAAAAAAAAAAGTATAACCTTAAATAAATTATTACATGCGGACCGCATAAACCTATTAGTTTATTCATTTAACCGTCTGCGGTGCAATGCACGGTGCTGGGCGCAAGATTACCCCTTGATTATTGCCATATATATAATCCCAATTCCCAACCGCTAAATCCTCTTCTCCACTTCTGAAAGGTGAGCTTCAACCTTATAAAGAAGCTGTAAAACCAAAATGCTGGTACTTAGCCAAGCACCGGCCTCCGTTCCCAACAGTAGCAGCAGATGCTGCAGCTGCTGCACTTGTTCATCTTCAATCTCATCTTCTGTTTCCTCTAAACACACTCTCAAAATTTCCCACATTAATCCAACTGCAACCCTTTTCTCTAAACGCAGTCTCAAATCAAATTCAATCAAACACACCCTTCGATTTCCTCGTATTGTTGCCAAATCATCCGATTCATCTTCTCCTGTTACCAAGCAATCCCCTCCTGATAACGACACCGTTTTTGTTGGCCCTGATTCTGTTCCTCTTGAAGGTGTCATTCAATTTGATAAGCCTTCTTCTTCTTCCCGCTTTCGAAAATGGGGGTAATCCATTTATTTACTTACTTTTTTTATTTAAATTTTTGTGGGGTTTTTTTTTTTAATGGCATAATTCGTACTGGGTTTCTCTTCTTATAGAATTTGTTGCAGTATTGTATTATTATACTTTGATAATCCTTCATCTTCTTCCCCTTTCAAAAATAGGGATAATTCATTTATTTATTTACTTTATAATTTAAATTTTGGTGGGGTTTTTTGTTAATGGCAGAATACGTACTGGGTTCCCTCTTCATATTGAATTTGTTGCAGCATTGTCTTATTATAATTTGTTTGTTTGTTTTTTTTTTTTTTGATTAAATTAAGAAAATTTCAGCAATTTTTAATTTATCATATTTTGATTATGCTTTTTAAACTTTGATTGTGTGATAAATATGTTGCGAAATATTGAACACTTTTTTTAATGTGTTGTATTATATTCAGGAAAGTTGCGTTATTAGCTGGTGGGGATGTATTGGCAATACTTTTGTTTGCTGCAATTGGAAGGTTTAGCCATGGATTCCCTGTTTTTGAGGCTGAAACATTGCGCACTGCTGACCCTTTTATTGCTGGTTTGTGTAATTTTGAATAACAATTGAGTCATTTGCAGTGTTTGGATAATTTCTAGTTTTTGAAAGATAGAATAACATTTGAGTTATTTGAAGAGTTTGGATAATTTGGTATTAACTAGAGTGTTTGAATGTGATGTAGGATGGTTTCTAAGTGCGTACTTCCTTGGAGGGTACAGTGAGGATGGTCGAGGGATGAGTGGTTTGAATAAGGCGGTTGCTGCTGCTGCCAAGTCTTGGGCCGTAGGTATACCGGTAAGTCCGATATTTACCTTTATACTTCCTTCTACTTCTTACGGCTGATATTTAGAGCTGTCAATTCGGATAAACAGGTCGGGTTTGAGTCGGGTCATCTCGGATCGGGTCAATACGGGTTAATGTCATAACACATGCGGGTCGGGTTCGGGTTGTGTCATGTTTGAGTCGTGTCACGTCGGGTCATACATCTTATCGGGTTTGGGTCGGGTTTAGGTCGAGTTAGTAAACGGTCGGGTTACATTCGGATCGGGTTAAATATGGGTCTTTACGGGTTTAAACGAGTTAGGGTCGTTCTCGGGTTCGAGTCGGGTTCGGTTCAAGTAAATTATTTATGGGTTATAATCAGGTCGGGTCATTCTCGGGTTCAAGTTGGGTTCGGTTCAAGTCAATAATTTGCGGGTTATAATCAAGTCAAGTCATTTTCAAGTCGAGTCATTCTCGGGTTCGAGTCGAGTTCGGTTCAAGTCAATAATTTGCGGAAAACATGTTTCGTTCCTGAAATTTGTCCCTAAAAACATGTTGTGAAACTAAGCTCTTAAAATTTCGAAGTGAAATATAGAAGGAATAGAGTTAGGATTCAATTTTCGTTCCAATACCAACATGAGATAACGACCTATACATATTGATTCGATAACAAGTTAAGTTGAATTTGGGTCGGGTAAATAACAAGTCGGGTTGATTCGGGTCGCGTTTGTAATAGGTCGGGTTGAAATATGAGTCGAGTTTGTAGCAGGTCGGGTTAGGAATAGGTTGGGTTGAATTTGGGTCGTGTTAGAAACAGGTCGGGTTGAATTCGGTTCAGGTCGGGTTCAGTTCAGGTCAATAATTTACGGGTTACATTCGGGTCGAGTCATCTCTAGGTCGGTTAATGTTTGGGTTCGGGTCTCAAACACTTGGGTCAACTCGGGTCTAGGGTTGGTTTCAGGTCGGGTTCGGGTCACCATTTTTTTCGGGTTTAGACGGGTCGGTTAATAGGTCGGGTTACGGTCGGTATTTCGGGTCGGGTCAGCTTTTGACAGCTCTACTGATATTAAACATTTTAGCTCTTTGGAAGGTGATAATAGTCATTTTAGTGTTATCAAATTTGTTGGAGTGTTACGTTTGTTTAGTTGCTTGTTCATAATTTAGTTTAATGTACGCAAATTCACAGTAAAAATAGAACATCTTTAAAAAAAAAAAAAGAGGAAGTATAAGATCATTTTGTCTTTCATTTAACTATACAAATCTATTGTCCTTGCCCCTTTTTTATGATGAAATTTTATTGAATATGTTTCAGAGCTCCATGTTTTGATGATGTCAAATTGTTGTTGAAATATCTGATATTTATTGAAAGTTAAATTTTTTCACACTATTTATTCACAAATTTGTTAACTCTCACGATAGAATTTAGCATATAATAACACTTAATGGATTTATGTTGGCCTTCATATGTGACAATAGATTTCCAATTGAATAACATAGAAAATCATCTTCAGTCACATATTCATGGATAGTTGTTAATAAGTCTCACATATTATGAAAATCATTACAATATCAGACTGATGCGAAAATCTACATTTGACTTGCATATTCTTAAAATTATAGCAACATCCTTCAGTGAATCTTTAGAGTAATTCTTAAGACGTGACTGCTTGTTACTTGCATATTCTATGTGAATACTACCTTCATTAAAAATTATGTGCAACTTTGGGGTCTTGCACACACTCCAAGTAAAAAAATCTTAAATGTTGTTTAAGAAAGTGAAGGTATGCCATTAATAAATAATCAAATCCAAATCCTCACTTAAAAAAAAAAAAACAAAACTGTACCACCGCCTTCACCACCAACCTAGCCAAGTCACCGAACCTCTGCCTTCACACCCGCCCACCTTATCAAGCCACCCCACCTTTCCTACCTAGCCAAGTTTTTATTTAGATGAAATAGTACAAGAGGTGGGGGAGGGAGTAAATTTAAGTATGTAGCTTGCTAGTCACTTTTTGTGGAATTAAAAGAAACTGCACACAAGTAGAGAAATAGTGCAAGAGATATTTTACGATATAAACTTCCTAGGCCAAATAGAAAGTGAAAAACCTCGACCCCAAGGGATTTTGACTCAAAACATTCCACTAAAATAGGCCAACGACTTAGTTACGTCTTGTAAGGAACTAGAGCCTATGGAATTCCTCAATAACTCATATTCCCAACAACTATTCCCTTTAATAGCTGCCGCTCGAGATCTTCCGTTAAAGATCTTTCTTCTTACTCAAGACTTCACTTAAAGTCTTACTCTTTCTCTTAAGCTTCACTCAAAGCTTTTCTTCTTTTTCTCTTAAGCTTCATTCAACGCTTTCTTTTTCTCTCAAGCTTCATTTAAACCTTTACAAAGAACTTACTCAAGTTCTCACCCCAATACAAGAGTCCACTCAAACCCTTTTTAAATTCCTCATTACAAGAGTCCACTTAAACCCTTGAACAATTCTCAAATACATATAAAAGACAAATGAATGAAACTAATATTTTGGACACTTTGAGACATTTAAGGAACTTAGAACCTGAAAAAATTGACTCGCTAATGTGGATGACAAAATATATCTCTCACGAAAACTATTTCACTCAAGTGAGATATTATTTGGATGACTCTCTAAAGTTTGACATTTTGGAAAGAATTATAATGTTTTATTTATAGAAGATTAGAAAACCTACTAATTACCCATGTTCCTGATGATTAGGAGTGGTCCGAATCTTTAAGCCCACGAAAAGCAAACTAGTCCTAATTATAAGCAACAATAATGGGTCAATTAGTTGCTCCACGACTTGCTCAATAACCTCTTTTTCCTTAGGAAAACAATCAGCACAAGCGTGCTGCTGAAAAATAGGAGTTTAAAATAGACTTCCTTAAAACGATAAGTTAAAATAATAAACTCGTTTATGTTGAATAATAAATAGAGATGAGAAAAGAGAAAGAATAATAAAAGTTAAATTCAATCCATTTTTAATCAAACTACAATGAAAGCCTTATATAGGCACAACAAACAAATTAGGGATGCATAACCCCATATTCTCACGTAGCAACTTACTATCCTAATAATTAGGAACTAAAAACTAACCACTAACTTCTTATTCCCAAATTTAAGCAAAGTCAACAATTAACTTTGAATCACTAATCCCACGATATATCCAACATACCCCCTTGATTCAAAGTTCATGACATTCACTAATTAACAATGTGTACTAGAAAATAGCAACTATATCGTGATGTTTGGAGCATCAATCAACAGTTTATCAATTTAACTTTATAAATACCTCAGATTCATTTCGTTAACAAACGGGATCTCAACTAAACTCCTACTTTTAAGGTAACCTCTTTGAAATTCTTTTTCCCACGATATCTATACTATATACTAAAATAATCACCGGATGGGACATTTGGCATAATTTTATGAAAAATTTTCCCTCCAAAAATGCTTTTTTTTTTTTAAAAAAAAATCTATTAAAAAAATTAAAATTCTTTTAATAAATTTTATTTATATATTTATAACACATAAGAATTTAAAGGATAGACATTAGTAAATTTAATTTTTAAAAATAAAATGTTATATAAGTTATTTAAGTTAATTAACTCTGTATCAATTGACTATTATTATTACTAAATTATACTTTATAAATCTGTCCATTGCACGGGGCCAAAACTAATATTGACTAAAATAAAACCAGATTTTATTTTTAGAACTTTGTTTTAAAAAATAAAATCATTTTAGAAAATAGTTTATGTCAAAACTAAATCCTTAGAAACTAGGAAAATAAGTTATCTTTTTTACCAAAAGATTTTGATTTTATTTTAAAAACTTATGTTTTATTAAATAAAATCTATTAATAAATAATAATACTAACTCAAAATTAACTCCCTAGAAAGTAAGAATATATAAGTCAATGACTATTTAACGTGGAAAACTAATTTCTAGTGCTATGCAAACTCGTGTTTTTTCTATAAACGAATTCTAGACTAATTGGTTAACAACAACTCTATGTTCCTTAACGAAGCTCCAATGTAGCAACTTAGGCTTGTTCCAAACAATTTTTCTTATCCAACATACATGATTCCTAAAAAAATATTTATCTATCTTCATTTTTTATGATTCCAAAGGTTCTTTGGCGAAGCATCTACTCCGATCTAAGGAACTTCTCATCTCCTCCAAAGCTTCCCGGAGGAATCCAAAGCTTTTATTCTTGGAAGGAACTTCTCTTTGCTTGTTCCTACTTGGGAGTTGTTATTCCTTCAAAGAACTGCTTCTCATTCTTTTTAGGAACTGCATGTAAAGTCTAACTATACATTTGTTTGTTTATGCTTCTTCTCTTTGTGTTACCCTAGGAACTCAAACACAATCCATAAATTGTACATTAGTAACCATCTTCAATAATAATGATCTAATTTGTACTTAACTATCTTCATGGTTCATGATCTGTTTATGCACATCTCAATACAAATATTAGTTAGATAATCATCATTTGTTCACAAAAATCAAAACCTTACAACACAAACCATCGTACTTAATTCATACGAATCCCCTATACGCCTAGACAAAACCCACCACTCCCACGAACACCACCCCCACAAATCTAAATACCCAGAAAACGTGAAAGTTCTAATGTAGTCATATAAGTTTTGACTTCCACAATTTTTTAAAATGGGTGGCTGAGATTATTTGTTTTTTTATTTATATTTAATTAGTAATTTTAATTATAAATCATTTCTTAATTATTTTAAATGTGTTTAATTTCTAGAAATTGTTTTTTTAATAATTACGAAATTTTGTTTTTTCTTTTTTTAATTTAATTATTATTTATTAATAATCAAAATAAACATTAGATCAAAAATCAAAATTAAATAATTGTTCATCATGTTCTTCATTGTTCAACCAAAATTAACCACTCATCTTATATGTTATATCTCTTGATTAATATTCATAATACACATTAATTTGTTTCGTTAATCGCTTCTCATATGTCATAGAATTCTT